TCCCCAGGATAGGGTTGAAGACACCTGAGCAGGCAGAGGGATCACCAAACACATCCAAGGCCTAAAAAAGAGCTAAGGTCAGGGTAAGCGTTGCCAGATAAAATGTAGGATGCCCAACTATAATAAATCTCAATTGTAGATACTCAGGAATAATTTTTAGTATAAATATGTCCCCAAAATGTAAACAGGTGTCCTTATTTCTGTTTGCTAAATATAGCCACACTGATAAGGACAAATTATTTATAAAAGGACCAAACTTTGAAGGCCAAATTTACTCATGAAGTTTCCAGGCTTGGTAGTGCTGAACAGAGACCAAGAGAAAGACTATAGAAGTTGAATAGACCTGGAACAGAGCAGAAAGAATGAACAAGGGTGTAGCTGTGCAGATTGTGCACTGCAGAACTCAAGACTACCACATGTAAAACTAGTGGCTCTGGAAGTCTAAAACAATTATTCCAACAGTGATGGAATGCCCAAGTCTTTTTCACATTGACAGAGACCACAAAGTATGATATAGAGTAAAAGCAAGATTAAAACCCACCGTCTCCCCTTTTTCCTATCCCCTCCCCCTACAATTTACTGTAAGTGGAGTTTTCAGCTGATCTGCTTTGTCTAAAAAGAGCCTAAAAGAACCAGAAAGGTTAGGTTGAGGGCAATTATTTTATGAAGTAGCTTCTAAAACCAAAAGGAAATTTAGGAGTCTAAAATTCCATTCTTTGTCAATTTTGAAAAACAAAGAGAAACAATAGAAACTTGATAACAATGAGTGGTGACGGCTCACATTTCTGTTTGTTTATAGGAAACCAGTATTACTTTTGCAAAGGGAGAGACGTAAAAAGTTACTAAGCACTTCATCTGCATAAAGGCCACAAAGGAGCCAGGCTGCTAGACGAATATGTACACTTTTAGGATTGGGACGGGAGACAGCAAAGCAAGTTTCCAGAAGTGAAAAGGCCAGAGGGGCTGTGTCCTATGTGGAATAGAGATGCGGTTTGAGGGCTCATAGCCTATGTCTTTCAGCTTCCACTGAGTCTAGGCCCAGCTAAAGTGCAAGGAAAAGAGGTTTTGTTTCTCTAACCATAAGGGAATAATCCAAGTAGACTTGCCTGGTGCCAAGAGAGGAAAATGCCTCTTCTAAAAGAATCCAGAATAAGCCATTTATTTTTAAAAATTTATATTTCTAAGTATCAAATTTAACTATAAGCTCTGTGGTCCAAAAGAGCTAGCAGCTGTTAGCAATCTAGCCTCTAATTAGATCAGCCGTGATCTGACTGATGGCATCACAGATGAAAAAGATAAGATTTTCTTCAAATACTGACACATCAAAGATTTCTTTTTAAATTTGTATAAATTTAAGGGGTACAAATGCAGTACAAATTACATGGATATATTGTGTAGTGATGATTTCTTGATCATTGATGATTTCAGCAAAGAAACTTTTTGTGCTTGATAATTAATATGATTAACCCATCTTACATGAATTCTTACTAACCTCATTTTTGTCATCTGTTCTCTTGGGGCTGTCACTCCCTTACTTCTAAACAAATATAAGTTTTTATTTATATGAGATTATCTGATTCATGTCTGGTTTGACACAGAGCTGTATTCACCATGACATCAGTGATTATATTATTCTGCTCCCTTTGTAATTCCCTAAAACCTAGCACAGAAAAGGTACTAGATACACATATGCTGAATAACTAAGGAATGAATGAATGCTTTTATTTTGCCAAGCGTAGTGTGGTCTTGGAACAGGAATAAAAATCCTTCCATTGTAATTATGATTCTGTCAGTAGCTAGCTAGTTGTGATACCTGTGGCAAATGCCATCTGAACCTGTCTTTTCATGAGTAAAGGGATCAAATAAAAGCTACCTGACAGTACTGAGTAAAACGTGCCACATATTGAGATTGGAGACTTTATGATGAATTTCTGTATAAGAGGTTGCATTCACTGCCCCAACTTTGTGTCTGAACTCATAAATCCCCTCCCTCTCCATCCTATGTGTTATGTGTCTTTCATCACAAGTGTCTATGTTCATTAAAGAGGGAGAAAATACTGCATCATTTGCATTAATCAGATGGTACAGAACCACTACTCAGAGCAGTAAGAGAAGGATCAGGAAACGCAGAGTGAGGGAAGCTAATCTTCCAACCTTAGGGCTTAAGCCCCAGCCAAAAACTCCATATGTAAGCAGCCACTTAGCCACTGAACCAGACAAAGATGGAAGGCTATGAGCACCATTTCCATCTCCCCTTCTCCAGCCTCAACAGCGTGAGTAGATGTTGGACTGTACAGCAGCAGCTCAGGCTTTCTGAGTCTACCAGGGGTACCCATTTTGGAGGAGATTTTGAACACTTCAAGCAAGGATTTTTTGCAAAGAATATAAAAACCAGAAAGAATGCAAGGAATGGTAACATAAATATCTCAAGCCAAGAGGGGTTTGTTCATTTTAAGAAAACAACTGAAATAATGCAAGGGCAGGGAACAACATGTAGCCAGGCTGTAGTTGAAAGTTATGTAATCTTTATCTTGAAAGTTAGAACAAGCTTTGTCCAGGAGGGCAGGGCCATATGATAAACTCAGTGGTGCCTGGACCCATGGCTCATACCTTCAGTAGGAACCCACGTAGGGAATATGTAAAAGGGATTCCAGAAAGGGAGGTATGGGTAGCCAGGCAGCCCAGCCAGACTTTGTTGTTAGAAGATCTGGCTTCTTGGCATATTTCTGCCACTTAGCTGTGTAACCTTAGGTGCACATCTTCACCAATTCTCATTTTCCTTAATGTGTAATGTGGATGATAATGGGATCCACTTGGGAGACTTATGAGGAAGATTAAGTCATATATATAGTGTTCATCATAATCCCAGTTCATAGTAAGCTCTCAATATTGAAGATTTTTGCGTCGATGTTCATCATGGATATTGGCCTTAAGTTTTCTTTTTTAGTTGAGTCTTTGCCTGGTTTTGGTATCAGGATGATGTTGGTCTCATAAAATGAGTTAGGGAGGATTCCCTCCTTTTGTATTGTTTGATATACTTTCAGAAGGAATGGAACCAGCTCCTCTTTGTACATCTGGTAGAATTCGGCTGTGAACCCATCTGGACCTGGACTTTTTTTGGTTGGTAGGTATTGATTGCTGCCTCTACTTTAGCCCTTGTTATTGGTCTATTCAGGGTTTCAACTTCCTCCTGGTTTAGTCTTGGTAGAGTACAAGTGTCTAGGAATTTATCCATTTCTTCCTGGTTTACTGGTTTATGTGAATAGAGCTGTTTGTAGTAATCTTTGATGGTAGTTTGTATTTCTATGGGGTCAGTGGTGATATCCCTTTTATTGTTTTTATTGCATCTATGTGATTCTTCTCCTTTTCTTTTTTATTAATCTGGCTAGCGGTCTGTCTATTTTGTTGATCTTTTCAAAAAACCAGCTCCTGTATTTATTGATTTTTTGAAGGGTTTTTTGTGTCTCTATCTCCTTCAGTTCGGCTCTGATCTTAGTTATTTCTTGTCTTCTGCTAGCTTTTGAGTTTTCTTTGACCTTCCTCCTCTAGCTCTTTCAATTTTGATGATAGAGTGTCAATTTTAGATCTTTCCTTGTTTCTCACGTGGGCATTTATTGCTATAAATTTCCCTTTTGACACTGCTTTACATGTGTCCCAGAGATTCTGGTAAGTTGTGTCTTCATTCTGATTAGTTTCGAAGAACATCTTTATTTCTGCCTTCATTTCATTGTTTCAGTCGACACTCAGAAGCAAGTTGTTCAGTTTCCAAGTGGTTGTGTAGTTTTGAGTGTGTTTCTCAATCCTGAATTCTAGTCTGATTGCACTGTGGTCTGATAGACTGTTATGATTTCCATTCTCTTGCATTTGCTAAGGGGTGATTTGCTTCCAATGATGTGGTCAATTTTAGAGTAAGTGCAATATGGTGCTGAGAAAAATATATATTCTGTGAATTTGGGGTGGAGCATTCTGTATATGACTATTAGGTCCACTTGTTCCAGCTCTGCATTCAAGTCCTGGATATCCTTGTTAATTTTCTGTCTCGTTGATCTATCTAATATTGACAGTTGGAGTGTTAAAGTCTTCCACTATTATTGTGTGGGAATCTAAATCACATTTTAGGTCATTAAGAACTTGCTTTATGTATCTGGGTGCTCCTGTGTCGGGTGCATATATATTTAGGGTAGTTAGCTCTTCTTGTTGGATTGATCGTTTTACCATTATGTAGTGTCCTTCTTTGACTCTTTTGATCTTTGTTGGTTTGAAGTCCATTTTATCAGAGACTAGGATTGCAACCCCTGCTTTTTTTTGTTCTCCATTTGCTTGGTAAATCTTCCTCCATCCCTTTATTTTGAGTCTATGTGTGTCTTTGTATGTGAGATAGATTTCCTGAATACAGCACACCGATGGGTTTTGACTTTTTATCCAGTTTGCTAGTCTATGTCTTTTGATTGGGACATTTAGGCCGTTTACATTCAATGTTACTATTGTTATGTGTGAATTTGATCCTGCCATTTTGTTACTGGCTGGTTTTGTTTCCCATTAGTTGACCCATTTTCTTCATTGCATTTTTGGTCTTTGCCAACTGGTTTGTTTTTGCAGTGACTGATACTTGTTCCTTTCTGTGCTTCATGTTTCTTTCAGGAGCTCTTGTAAGGCAGGTCTTGTGGTGATAAAATCTCTCAGTAATTGCTTGTCCGTAAAGGATTTTATTTCTCCTTCACTTACAAAGCTTAGTTTGGCTGGATATGAGATTCTGGGTTGAAAGTTCTTTTCTTTAAGGATGTTGAATATTGTCCCCACTCTCTTCTGGCTTGTAGGGTTTCTGCTGAGAGATCTGCTGTGAGTCTGATTGGCTTCCCTCTGTGGGTGACCTGACCTTTCTCTCTGGTGGCCCTTAGCATTTTTTCCTTCATTTAAACCCTGGTGAATCTGACGATTATGTGCCTTGGGGTTGCTCTTCTTGAGGAATATCTTTGTGGAGTTCTCTGTATTTTTTTTTTAACTATAGCTTTTTATTTTCATGTGGATAATTCAAACAAAATTACTAGTAGCCTTTGTTCAATTTTTTTTTTTTTTTAAGAAATGCTCAAAAAAATCTTGAGCTTAAAAGAAATCTAAGCTTGTTACAGGAGCCTGGCTGGAGGATTCCTATTTTTATAGATGAGAAATACAATGCAGATTTCTCTGAAGAGTGTTTAAAGAAGGAATGGTAGTTTAGGGGGCTTATTTCCCAGGCTCCAAGTGATTTAGGGGTGGTGTCACAGTGCTAGGTAGAGGGTGATAGGACAGTGATCACTGCCAAGAGCCTTGGAATCGATCTTGCTGTCACACAATGCAGGTAACAAAGAGTGGGACAACAAAAAATAATCAAGACGCCAACCAACATTCTTGGATCGAGCATTCATCATATAAGTCCAAAAGGTGTAGGCATAGGCTGTGCTGGGGTAGAGGTGCTTAAAGCTGTCAGCCAATGGCACAGCCTGCAGTAATTCCTGAAAGCCTTGGTGCTCTTGTGGCATGAAGCCAGCATTCTTTTTGTTTCCCTTGGGGTTGTGAAGGTCAATTTCTTCATGCACTACATTGAGGTCTCCACACAGCACAAGGGGATTTCGGGAAGCCAAGCCCTTCAGGAACTTGTGAAAGACTTCATCCCAGCACTGCCAGTACTCCAGTCGTACCAGATCCCGGTCTGCGTTAGGTACATAAACTGTTACCAGCACAAATGGGTCAAATTCAGCCACAATCATCCGGCATTCCTGATCATGCTTCTCCTCACCTATGCCATAAGAAACTTTGAGTGGGCACTGGCGGGAAAGTGGGCCCATGCCACTGTACCCTTCCTTATCCGAGGGAGCTGACCAGTATTGATGAGGGATTCCAGGCAGCTCTTGAAGTTCAGCTGGTAGTTTGTTCTCTGAACATTTGTTCTCTTGAAGGCACAGTATATCTGGGGCTTTTCTTTACCCAATCGGATCCTTTCTTCTTAATCCAGGCTCGAAGCCCATCCACATTCCAAGAGCAGATCTTGAGTATGGCAGGTTTGCCACTGGGTGAGGTATTCTGATCTGGGAGGTCCTCATACAGTGCTGGGCCCTCTCCTGCTGCCTCTTTGTCATTTTTCTTTGCCGCCGTCTTACTCTTCTTGGCCTCTGGCTCCATCTTGAGCTCGTCCCCTTCTTCGGCCACCGATCCCTTTTTCCCACGCTTCGGCATTCCCCTAATGAACACCCTTCAGAGGCACCTGTACCGCGTTGCCCACCGGAGTATTTTTACCGCGTTGCCTACAGACCCAAAGAAATGAAACCAGCTAAAACTGGGGAGAAGACTCCTCCCTAGAGCGTCCCCACACCAGGTCCGGCTTTTCAAACCATGTTATTTCTAAATCCTTTCCCAACCTCAGTGCATCATAGGCCCTTCAGCCCCTCACCCATGTAACAAGATCATTTCATAGTGCCTTGTACCCTACTCGCGAGATCTGTCTCTATATTTCTTTAATTTGAAATTTGGACTGCCTTGCTAGGCTTGGGAAGTTCTCCTGGATAATATCCTGGAGCTTGTTTTCCAGCCTGGATTCATTCTCCCCATCATATTCAGGTATACCAATCAAGCGTAGATTAGGTCTTTTCATATAATCCCATATTTCTTGGAGGCTTTGTTCATTTCTTTTCACTCTTTTTTCTCCTGTCTCGCCTTCTCTTTTTATTTTGTTGAGGTGATCTTCAATCTCTGATATCCTTTCTTTTGTTTGATTGATTTGGCTGTTGAAACTTGTGTTTGCTTCACATAGTTCTCATGCTGTGTTTTTCAACTCCATCAAGTCGTTTATGTTCTTCTCTAAGCTGGTTATTCTAGTTAGCATTTCTTCTAACCTCTTTTCAAGGTTTTTGGTTTCTTTGCATTGAGTTAGAACATGTTCCTTTAGCTCAGAAAAGTTTGTTATTATCCACCTTCTGAAACCTGTTTCTGTCAGTTCGTTGCACTCCTTCTCGGTCATGCTGTGATCCTGTGTAATTGAGGAGTTGTGATCCCTTGAAGGAGAAGAGGTGTTTTGGTCTTTGATGGTTTCATCTTTTTTGCTCTGGTTTATTCCCATCTTTGTGAGTTTACCTCGCTGCATTGTCAGGGAGCTGCTTGATGAGGTGGCTTGTCTGCCTGTGGAGGCGCTACTGGGTTTCTAGGGGCTCCTTCAGGTTACTAGGGAAACTTCCTGTGTCGTTTTTGTTTATACTGAGAGATTAGGCCCACCTCTTCTGCTGACCTGTAGGCACTTCTGGGTTGTCAAGAACCCTGTCCTGTTGCTATGTAGGCCTCCTGTGTTTTTTGTTGAAACATGTAGCCCAGTCCCACCCCTCTCATGGTGTGTTGCGCCCTTCCTCCACCGGGCTAGATCATTCAGGGTTCAGCTCAGACTGTGGCACTGGCTGCAACCCACTAGAGTCAGAGCTTCAGCTCTCTGGGAATTGTGGGGGAGGGTAGGGACCCACCCAGCAGCACCCAGCTGTCTCTGTCTCCCCCTTTCAGCTTCCTCTCTCTCCAGTCGTGGGGTAGGGGCCCACCCAGCTGCTCCTGCTTACAGCTCCCTCTCTCTCAGGGCGGGGGGAGGGGGCAATAGCTCAGTCTGCAGGCTCTCCTGGCTGCCTTTTGGGCTTATGCATCTGTTTAGGTCTATGTGCCAATCCGTGACACAGTCCTGGATTATTATTCAACTCCGTGCTTGTAATTCCCGGCACTTGACTGGCAAAGATCCCCTGTTCTGTGTATTGCTGAGGCTTTGGGGGAAGGGCTGTATCTGGACCGGAGTGCCAGAGGGGGAGCCTCTGACTCGCTGGTCAGATGCACTTTCTGGGTGAAGCAGCACCCCTCCCCGCCTCAGTCTGCCCTAAGTGGGCTTTGCTCACCGTCAGACCAGACCCGTTAAAAGGCACCTGGTACCTCGGTTGGAGCTAGGAGATCTCTGGATTTCTGCATAGCTCTCGCTGGGTGTTGTGTGCTGGAGTTTTGTCTATTCAGCCACCTTGGATTGGCCCAGACTTAATTCCAGGTGGCAATCTTCCAGTTTAATGGAATCATTGTTGTGTCTCCTTGTGGCAGTGTTCCTCCCTCTGGAACTAAGACCTCTAGGCCAGTAGAATGTAATGTCATCAGAGCAGGAAGCAGAAATTTTGCTAATGACACATTGGGGGTAGTGGTGAGTGGTGTCACTTCCATTTCCACCCCTTGATTCCTGGATCTGTGAATCCTGGCTATGGGAGAAACAATACCATGTGTTGGATGCTGATTCAGAGCACACACAGCCTTCTGGAGAACTTTGCTCCATCAAAGTATTGTCACCTAGTTGGCATTGTAATTGTGACTTCTAAGGGCCATTCTACCATTCTATCAATCCGGCTGCTTCAGGTTGATGGGGAACATGGTAATACTGGTGAATTCCATGAGCATGAGCCCACTGCCACACTTAAAGTGCCTTGGTCAGAGACAATGCTGTGTGGAATACCATGATAGTGGATAAGGCATTCCATGAGTTCACTGTTGGTAGTTTTGGAAGATGAATTGCATGCAAGATAGGAAAAGCTATTTCCAGAGTGTCATTTCAGTGAGGACAAACCTCTGCCTTTTCCATGATGGAAGAGGTCTAATATAATCAACCTGCCACCAGGTAGCTGGCTGATCACCCCCAGGAATGGTGCCATATCGGGTGCTCAGTGTTGGTCTCTACTGCTGGCAAATTGGGCACTTAACAGTGGCCATAGCCAGGGCAGCTTTAGTGAGTGGAAATCTATGTTGCTGAGCCCATGCGTAACCACCATCCCTGCCACCATGGCTACTTTGTTCATGGGCAATGACAGAGGCTGGGGAAAGAGGCAGAGTGGTGCCCACAGAATGGGTCATCCTAGCCACTTGAGTATAAAAATCCTCCTCTGCTGAGATCACCCATTGGTGAGCACTCACATGGGATACAAATAGCTTCACAGTTTTTGACCACTAAAACAGGTCCATCAATATACCTCTTCCCCAGTTTTGTTTGTCACCAATTTTCCAATCATGCTTCTTCCAAGTCCCTGACCAGCCAGCCAAACCATTGGCTATTGCCCATGAATCAGTATATAATCACACATCTGGCCATTTGTCCATCCATGTAAAGTGCAAAACCAGGTGCACTGCTTGAAATTTTGCCCACTGGGAAGATTTCCCTTCACTGGTGTCCTTCAGAGATGTCCTAGAAAGGGGCTGTAGTTCTGCAGCTGTCCACTTTTGGGTAGTGGCTACATATTGTGCAGAACCATCTGTGTACCAGGCCCTAGTCTTCTCTTCCTCTGTCAACTGATCATAGGCAATTCCTCATGAAGATATTGGTGCAGGCTGGAGGACAGAAGACAGGGTGGCAGGAATGGAGACCATGGACATTTGAGTCACTTCCTCACATAGCTTACTTGTGCCTTCAGGACCTTCTCTAGCCCAATCACATATATACCACTTCCATATGATGATGGAATCCTTCTGTGCATGACTCACTTTATGGCTAACTGGGTCAGAAAGCACCCAGTTCATGATAGGCAGTTCAGGTTGCATGGCTACTTGATGACCATAGTCAAACATTCAGTTTCCACCAAAGCCCAGTAACAGACCAAGAGCTGTCTCTCAAAAGGAGAGTAGTTATCTGCAGAAGATGGCAGGGCCTTGCTCCAAAATCCTAGAGGCCTCCACTGTTATTCACCTATGGCATTCACAAATAGCATCTCTATCTGCCACTGACACTTCAAGCACCATTGGATCTGCTGGGTCATATGGCCCAAGTGGCAGAGCAGCTTGCACAACAGACTGGAGGTATTGCAGAGCCTTCTCTTAGACCCCACTCAAAACTGGCAGCCTTTCAAGTCACTTGATAAATGGGCGGGAGTAGCACATTTAAGGAGGAATGTGTTTCCTCCAAAATCCAATGAGATCCTCTAGGCTTTATGCCTCTTTCTTGGTTGTAGGAGGGGCCAAATGCAGCAACTTATCCTTCACCTTAGATGGAATATCTCAACAGGCCCCACACCCCTGGACCACTAGAAATTTTACTGAGGTAGAAGGTCCCTGGATTTTAATTGGATTTATTTCCCATCCTCTAGCATGCAAATGTCTCACCAATAATTCCAGTGTGTTTACTACTTCTTGCTCACTGGGTCCTATCAGCATCTCATCAGTGTAATGGACCAGTATGTATCTTGCAGAAGTGAAAAGCAATCAAGGTCTCTCCAAGTAAGATTATGACACAAAGACAGATAGTTGATATACCCTTGAGGTAGGACAGTAAAGGCATATTGCTGGCCTTGCCAGCTGAAGACAAATTAGCCTTATGAACAGGAATGGAGAAAAAGGCATTTGCCACATCAATGGCAGCATACCAGATACCAGCAGATGTGTTAAGTTGCTCAAGCAATGAAATCACATCTGGTACAGCAACTGCAATTGGAGTCACCACTTGGTTAAGCTTATCATAATCCACTGTCATTCTCTAAGATTTATCTGTCTTCTGCACAGGCCATATAGGAGAGCTGAACAGAGATGTGGTGGGAATCACCACCTCTGCATCTTTCAAGTCCTTGAAAGTGGCACTAATCTCTGCAATCCCTCCAGGGATGCAATACTATTTTTGATTTACTATTTTCCCAGGTAGAGGCAGATCTAATGGCTTCCATTTGGTCTTTCTCACCATAGTAGCCCTCACTCTACCAGTCAGGGAGTCAATGTGGGGGTTCTGCCAGCTGCTAAGTATTTCTATGCCAATTATGCATTCTGGCACTGGGGAAATGACTACTGGACCAGGACCCAGGGACCCACTGTAAGTGACACCTGAGCTAAAACTTTATTAATTACCTGACCTGTATAAGCCCCTACTTTAACTGGATGATCAAGATGTTTTGGGTCCATCAGCTCAGACCCAGTGTTCAGTAGTCCCTGAAATATCTGATTATTTCCCTTTCCGCATGCACAGTTACCCTGGTAAAAGGCTGGAGATCTCCTTGGGGAAGGGTGGGAGAAAGATTTACTGCAGAAATTGTCAGTAAGGTACTGGGGTCCTTCCTCAAGGTGACATGGCCTCCCCTTCATTCAAGGGGTTTTGGGTCTGTAAGGTGGCTCAAGTCTGGAAATTGATTGAGGGGCCATGATTCCCTGTTTTTAATTATTCAAATTCAAATTAGTCTTTTGTCCATTTGACCTAGAAGTTTTCTGTTTATATAAATTAAATAGGAATGC